ATGGCTCAGACCCCTGGGCCGGGTGCCGCAGGCCCCGATGTGCTCCTGGACCGTCTTCCGGACACTGGGCATCTGCTTGTCTAGAGGAAGAACGAATCACAATGAGCAGCCATCCTAGCTGGTTTGGCTCAATGGGTAGAGCGTTGGCCTGCACACTGAAGGGTCCCGGGCTCGATCCCCAGTGTGGGGCATGCAGGAGGCAGCCGATCAATGATTCTCTCTCATCACTGATGTTTCTGTCTCTCTCTCCCTCTCCCTTCCTTTAATAAAATATATTTTAAAAATAAATTAAATAATTTATGAAAAAATAAATAAAATGCCATACCATTAATAATTTATTAAAAAAATTAAAATGAGCAACCCATTCCAATGAACACCTTCTTCCCAAACAGGACTAGACCTAGATCTTGCGAATCTCCTCGAATCGCTGTAAGGAATTAAACCCGTAGGCATTTTCCCACGCCCGTGCCCATCGCGATTCCTAATGCCAGGTCTTGAGTCCAAGCACACGCTGGGCACCGTGAGGCCATATATGGGCACGTCCCACCACAGGGCGGGAGGTATGGAAAACACACGTGACATATAGACTCACGTGCAAGTCCACACAAGCTGCATTTGGGAGCAAAAATCAAAATTTACACAAACGCTTTTAGAAAACAATGTTTGTGAAAATTCTCATACACAGGTCTATTCAGAAATATTTATTTCATGCTGCAACAATATTTTTATGTGGCTTATTTCATCCAGGAAATCGCCACATACAAAGAGATAGAACTTTCTAAGACGGGTCGCAAATGAACTGATTAATAAAGCCTTTCAAATCAGTGGCGTAGTGTTAAAAATGAAAAGAAAGACTTGCGTTTGAAAGCTGCAACCATTCGCTGATCTTTTCAAATTCTTACCCATTTCTATATCCATAATCCATTTCTGTCTTCCCATGATATATACATATATTTAAATGCATATACATACACACATAAACATGCCTACAAAACCATGCATACAATGCTTCACACACATGTTCATCAGTGCCGCAGCTAAAGCTCAAGGCATTAACAACTATTCCATTTGCAACAAACCAGCCGGCCACACCTTTGCCGACACACTGCCTCTTGCGACCCAACACAGCAATAAAATGAGCCGCGGGCTGACTCTCCCAGGAAGGCAAGAGCTGTCCGTTGAAGAGACCAGCTCTGCGCTGTCAAAGGAGACCCTGACCAGGGCAGCAAACCGGGAACCAGCGAGTGGAGACTGGCACCCATCAGACCTGCAACCTATTAACCAACAGCCGGATAGGACACGTTTCCCTGTCGACCAGCGCCCCTTGTGGCTGAGGGATGAACTGCACCCCAGGACATGCTACTGGGCCAACCCTGTCTTGGGTACTAAGTGGCAAGTGTCCTGTCCATGTCCCTCTTGCTATGTCCTCAGGAGAAAGGTCCCTCCAGGTTCAGTGGATGCTTCAGAGCCAGCCGGGGCTGCAGTCCCCACCCTACACTACGGCAAGTCCAAGGGCAGGACCCTGCTCCCAGCCAGAAACTGGAATTCCTCACATCTGGCAGAGGACAGGATCCCACTGGGACCTGAGAGAGGACAGGTTTGTCCTCTGCTCCCAGGAGGCTGCGGGCACCGCCTCCGCTTAGAAACAAGCTGAGAAAACAGCCGAGTGTAAGACCTTAGTATTAACCTGGTGTGGAAAGTCAGATTTTTAAAAAATGAGTATTAGGTACACACCAAGACAATCTGGAAGTTATCAAAACATCCTGAACGTGGCAATGACTGTTTGAGAAAACAACGCACAGCCAAGCAGCTGTGTGGACAAAATTCAGAATGGCAGTGGTACTGTCCACGCGACAACGCCGTCTGAGGGGCGGCTCTGGCTCTGATGGCCAGCGCGGAGGGAAGGCCCTGTGACCCCCACGTCCCCCTTCACTTAAGGCTTTGTGCCTGCTCAGACAGCCGGGCGCTGGTTGACAGGGAAACGTGTCCTAACTCATGATGAATCGCAAATGCCTGCCCAGCCTTTCATGTCAAAGCCGCAAGGGACCCTGGGAGGTTTTCTTCTGCTAAAACTCTTCCACTCTAGCATCCACTGACCCCCTCGAAGCGCCGGCCCCTGCTAATGCATCAGTACCCAGCACCTCCGAGAAATGGGAGAATGAAAGGCGCTGCCATGTACTGCTCAGGTCTCGGTGCCTTGGCTATCTAGGTCCACATTGGATGAGCTTATTCAAAAGCAGCTCTATGTGCAGAGCGCCTTGGACAGGACGTGCTGTGAGAGCCACCCAGGCGGGAGAGAACTCGCCTGTGGGAGCCACGCCCCTGGGAAACACTAGTAAAGAATGACTCAGCCCAGCGTGGGCCTCTCCCTCTTCCTGATGGGGCCTCATGGGCACCCAGGGCAGTGCTGCTGTGGCCACTTCTCCTGCTGGGAGAGCGGTGCTGCCTGCACCCCAGCGCTCCCCTTAGGACAGTGGTTCTCAACCTTCTGGCCCTTTAAATACAGTTCCTCATGTTGTGACCCAACCATAAAATTATTTTCGTTGCTACTTCATAACTGTAATGTTGCTACTGTTATGAATCGTCATGAAAATATCTGATATGCAGGATGGTCTTAGGCGACCCCTGTGAAAGGGTCGTTCGACCGCCAAAGGGGTCGCGACCCACAGGTTGAGAACCGCTGCCTTAGGAACATCCACAGGAGCGCAGCACCTCCTGGGCCAGCTTTGTCCTCCGCCCTCCTATTTCCCCGAAACCTGCAACGCAAAGCCATAAACCCACGCATTGGTTTTTATTGCCCTCATTGATAAGAATGCAGGAAATCAAGGTCACAAAACAAAAAAAAAACCAAAAATGGGAATTTGGGGTTCTTCTGGGGTCATATTCCAAGCTGTGTTTCTAATAGCTTCCAAATGACTACTGTATGGGTAAAGTGTGTGTTTATGTATGTCTGTTTGTATCATGCATATTACACGTGTGTTTATTTTGCATGTGTATAGATCTGTGTCTCTGTACATATGTGTGTGTATATATATATACATGCATGCACCCCTATGTTCACTGCAAAGTTATTTACAATAGCCATGATATGGAATCAACCCAAGTGCCCATCAGTAGATGAGTGGATAAAAAAGCTGTGGTTCACCCCAACAAATATTTTTTTTAAAAAGCTGTGATACATTTACACAATGGAATACTATTTAGCCATTAAAAAAAAAGGAAATTTTACCTTTTGGGGCAGCGTGGATGGACCTAGAGGGTACTGTGCTAAGTGAGATAAGCCAGTCTGAGAAAGGCAAGTACCATATGATGTCACTTATGTGTGGAATCTAATGAACAAAATAAACTAATACACAAAACAGAACCAGATTCATAGATACAGAGAACAGACTGACAGCTGTTAGAGGGGAGGGGTGTTGGGGGTCAGGGTGAAAATGGTGAAAGGATTAAGAAAAAACCCCACACACCTCATAGACACAGACAACAGCATGGCGATGACCAGAGGGAGAGGGGTGGGGAGGTAGAAGAGGGTAAAGGGGGGATAAATGGCGATGAAGGAGACTTGACTTTGGGTGGTAAACACCCAATAGAGCGTACGGATGATGGATTATAGAATTGTGCACCTGAAACCTATGTCATTTCATTACCCAATGTCACCCCAATAAATTCAATTAAAACGTTAATATATTTCCAAGGATTAAATCACTGGTGATGGCAAGATTGAGAGCCAGCAAAAGCAGACAGAGAAGAGGACTCCTGCACACGCTCCTGGGTGCACCCCGCACGGAGTCTGGCCATACAAAGGAAGTGAAAAAGGAGCTGCACCCAGCGACCCGGGAATGGCATTCAGGTTGAGCTGGTTGTTCGTTCTCATGGGCAACATGCTAATGACACGTTACCAAGGAGCGACCTGCCTGGGCAGCTCGGGGAGGGGGGAGGGCAGCGGGCTCTATGCAAGGCTTTCAGAGACCTGTACCCCCAGGAACCTACACCCCCAGGGACCTGACCACCCCCCACCCCCCAGAGACCTGCACCCCGGAGACCAGCACCTTCTGCTGAGCCAGCATCATAGTCACATCCATGCATTTATGTTCTGGGATGAATGTGCATCCCTCAAATTCATATGTTAAATCCTACCCGCCCCCCAATGTGATGGTATCAGGAGTGAGGTCTTTGGGAGGTGGTTGGGTCACGAGGGTGGAGCTCTCATGAATGGGATTCGGGCTCTTATAAAAGAGACCCCACAGCCCTGGCCAGTTTTCTCAATGCTCAGAGCGCCAGCCCGTGGATAGAAGGGTCTCGGGTCCAATTCCCCGTCAAGGACACGGACCTGGGTTGCAGGCTCGATCCCCGGCCCCAGTTGGGGCACGTGCGGGAGGCAGCCAATCGAGGTGTCTTTCTCAAGTCGATGTTTCTCTCTCGCCTTCCTCCCTCCCTTCCATTCTGTCTAAAAATCAATGGAAAAAATATCCTCCAATAAGGATTGAAATAAAAAAAAATAGACCCCACAGAGTTTGCTCCCTCTCTGTTCCCCACCATGTGAGGACATGGCAACAAGTTGGCCCTCTGCTATCCAGGAAACAGGTCCTTGACCGTGGACTTCCAAACTCCACAAGTGAGAGATACATGTCTGTTGTGGAAGCGCCTAACCTATGCCATTAGCTATACAGTGTTTTCCCTAAAAACAGGGTAAGTGCCTTCGAGGGAGCTTATCTGTGCCTGGTGTGACTCTGCAGGGTCCATGGTACCGAACAACACAAACAGGTCCGTATCCAGTGAGATAATAAACTGACGTCACCCGAGACTGGCCGCTGAGAATGTTCTTCTGATTTCGTGCTAATTGAACGCAGGGGCCACCAAACAAACAAAGGCCCTTCGAAAGTCTGTGTGCTGGACCTGAAGGTCTGGCGGTGACTCGTCTAACAGCCCATCTCTACTCCCACGTCCCTTCCTCCAATTTAGCATCATGCCGTCATGACTGCAGAACCAGACCTGACCACAGATTCAATTAGCTTTATCTGCCCATTAAGGGCAATTGGAAGTAACTCAATTTTCCCATAAAACAATGACCATCTAACAA